CGTGCACACTCGCCTCTCACTGGGCAGAGGGCGGATGGGGCAGAGACATGGGCACACATTCACACTCGCCTCTCACTGGGCAGAGACACGAGCACACGTGCACACTCGCCTCTCACTGGGCAGGTGGTCTACATGTTGTCATAAGCTGGCTCAAATTAGTTGGAGCACAGAGACACAGGACGAAGCAGACCTGTGTCCCTTACTGGCTCTGGGGAAGGGAAGGGTGGGGCAGAGGGCGGAGCAGAGGGCAGGGGGCAGGTGCGGGAGTGGTTGTGCCGGGGCCAGGGCTTCGATTGCACCCTGATTCTCACCTGTTGGGTGATGACGTCCCTGGGGAACACCCACTGGCATGGGTGGCCCGGTCTGGAGAGACCCTGCACGAACTCCATCCCTCGCTGGCTCGCCAACTTCCTCACCAGGTAAACGCGGTACCAGTCATTCCCGACATGGGAACAGAAGCGCTCAACTTGCTGTAGATAGCGCCTCCTCTCCTTGGCCATCTCTGAGAGTCCAGGGAGAAGGTGGGTGAGTGACTGGTGACTCAAGGTATTTATTATAGAGACAGAGATGGTCACAAGGCATGGGGCCTCCTCTTCAGGAATCACAATAGAAACATTCAGGGGAGAGAGGAGGCTGTAAGGCCTAGGATTGCTCAGAGAACCGGTTTCTGACACTTCTGGAACTTACTCAGAATAAGGAAGACTTGCCTGGCTCCCCCTGAGGCTCCGAGAGGAAGTCAGAAGCCCTGTCGAGGCAGAGGCGGATGCTGGCGATCACCTGCAGGTGCTCCACCGAGACCCCACGGACTGGCTCCTGGCTGCGCCTCTCTGGGGAGCACAGCTCCAGGAAGTACCTCTGCTCTGTCAGGTACTTCAGCTCGTCACTTCTGGAGCAAGCACTGATTTTCTCGTGTAGTGAGTCCTAAGAATTAAAGAGCAGGAAAGAAAAGGACATTGCTCTTTTGAATATGAGGGTCCCCAGCCTTCTGCAATTGCTACAGTATGACTCTGGAAAATGATGGATTAAGGATATTGTTTCCGTCTAAATTTTTTGAATCATGGAAAACTAACATTTCTTTTTATTTTAGGGGCAAGAAGGAGGGGAAAAGCAAACCTATAAGAAAACAATTGGCTCGGCACCTGTGGCTCAAGTGGCTAAGGTGTCACACCTAAGGTGGTGGGTTCGAATCCAGCCCGGGCCCGCCAAAAACAATGATGGCTGCAACCAAAAAAAAAAAAAAAAAAAAAATAGGCTCGGCACCTATAGCTCAACCAGCTAAGGCGCCAGTCATGTACACCTAAGGTGGCAGGTTCGAATCCCCAGCCTGGACCCGCCAAACAACGACAGCTGCAACCAAAAAATAGTCGGGCGTTGCGGCAGGCGCCTGTAGTCCCAGCTACTTGGGAGGCGGAGGCAGGAGACTCGCTTGAGCCCAGGAGTTGGAGGTTGCTGTGAGCTGTGATGCCACAGCAGTCTACTGAGGGTGACATAGTGAGACTCTGTCTAAAAAAAAGGAAAAAAAAAAAAGAACTGCAGGGAAGCGGCAGCTTACCTCCAGACAGCTGATAAAGAGCATGTACAGCTCAGTTTTATCTTCAATCATGAATGCTTTATTTTTTAACAGGGACAAGTAGTCCTGAATATAATCTTTTACTTCCTTGAAGCTGTGGAAACAAATATTCATAGTTATCTCAGAGTTATTCTAGAGACCCATCTTATAAAAAAAAAAGAAAAACATCTGTCATCTCTCCATCTCCTTCCCTTTGAATAAATGTATATGTCTGTGTATAAACAAACATCTACAAAGTAACCAGCCATCATTAATATAACTCTAAAACAAAAAGTGGCTGGAGGCTTTACAGATAGCCCTTGTATGCATACATAGTTCATAACATAATTTTGTTAAAAACGTTTTAACATAGATTGGAGGCTTGGTGCCCATAGCTCAGTGAGTAGGGTCCCAGCCACATACGCCAAGGCTGGCAGGTTTGAGCCTGGCCCAGGCCTGCTAAACAAGGACAACTGCAACAAAAAAATAGCTGATGGCTCGGCACCTGTAGCACAGTGGTTATGGCACCAGCCACATACAACGAGGGTGGTGGGTTCGAACCCGACCCGCGTCTACTAAACAATAATGACAACTGTAACAAAAAATTAGCCAGGTGTTGTGGTGGGCGCCTGTAGTCCCAGCTATTTGGGAGGCTGAGGCAAGAGAATCTCTTAAGCTCAAGAGTTTGAGGTTGCTGTGAGTTGTGACACCACGGCACTCTACCTAGGGAGACATAGTGAGACTGTATCTCAAAAACAAACAAACAAAAAACAGATCGGAAGAACATTAAAATTCCATAGTTTAGACCAGCTGTTCTCAAACTTTTTGGTTTTAGGGTCCGTTTAAGGTCTTAAAAGTTATTGAGGACCCCAGAGAACTTCTCCTTATGTGAGTAATAACTATTAATATTTATAATATTAGAAACTATTAGAAATTAAAAACATTTCAAAAATATTAGTTCACTTAAAATAGCAATAATAAATCCATCATATGTCAAGTAATATTTAAAATAATAAACTATTTTCCAAAAATTAAAAATTAAATTTTGTGAAATTTAAAATTTCAATTAGTGAAAGAGTGGCTTTGTTTTATATCCCTGCAAATCTTTTTAATGCCTGGCTTAATTGAAGTCAGCTGACATCCAGCTGCTTGTGTTTCTAATCAGTTGTGCCATATTGAGTAAAGACAATGTAGCCTCATGCATTATGTAGTCAGAAAAGGGAGAGAGATTTTTTGCAGATAACTGTGGATATTCTTATGTCATACTGTACCAAAACTTGACAAATTATCAATTCTAAAGGTTAGTTGTAATGTGGAACCTGAAACCTTATCAATGCACCTTTCATGGTCCATTACAATAAAATCAAATGTATGCCTCACAATTTAAATGGGCTATTTTTTCACTCACATACGATTTTGTGACTTTAGGTGTTGGTCATTTGGAAAATACAAGTTCACTGAACTATATGGATCTTACAAATGTTGACATTTTATAGTATATTTAAAAAACCCACCCACCTTCATTAATATCACCGTATATTGCCCCCAAATGTCTTTAAGTATTAGACAGATAACAAGCTCATCATGGAGAATGCAAGTTTTCCAAAATCTTAATTTTTGCTTAAAAGCTTGAACTTTATCATTAGCAACACACATTATCAGTAGTCTGGGTGGGGCAGGCGCACTTTGTTTTAAAGAAAGTTCCTGCCAAATGCCCAGGCCTGAACATCTGCAGTTTCTGGTCGTTCTTGCAAGTGCAAAAAATGGCATTCCTGGAAAAAGCAGCCGGCTCATGCAGGATGGCTGTGAGCAGCCGTCCTCGAGCAGCCCACCGTGCTGTGGCACACAGCTAGGTGTATTCCCATTCCCATGGAATATTTACAAAGTCATATCCTCAAGGGCTGAGAGTTAGTCAAATTAGTAAGTGAAGCTGGCATTAAAAAAAAAAATCCCAGAAACTTATTTGATCTTTGCTTGAATACAGTTTATATAGAAAGACTGGGACTGTTTTGGGTGCCCCTGATGAGTCGCACAGAGGCACTGAACTACAAAGGGGTGTCAGTCTGGAGACACCAGAAACGGAAATCACAAGCCCAATTTTAGCACTGCTCTTAAAGATTTGCCCCTAGAGAAACTAGGCCACTCTCTTTAAAACTGCTCCATGTGCTGGAGCTGCTGAGGGAAAACACCGGACATTTCAGAGGACATTTCGTATTCTGGTCTATTAGAGCATTTAAATACTTGGAAACAAAAAATATTTAGCTTTGAACTTTCAATACTGGAAAACTTTCAAGTCTCGGGTTTTCAGCCAGGAAGGGCTGGACTCGGCTTCAGAGGCCGGTCTTCAGCTTTGGCTTCCATTTCTTCTGCATCATCATCTCCCTACTTCGGCCTTTTCTCCTTCCAGCCTCTCCAGCTGCCTGTTCATAGCATTCTTGGTCGTGTTGCTGAGGTGTGAGAATACACCAAAGATGAGCAGTTGGAACTGCTATTCCAGGGGACTGCCTGGGTCTTTGATGACAAGTACAAGACCTGGATATGGTGCCTACGATGCATTCAAGCATGCAGTCTCAGACCATCTATCTTGGAAGCTTAGATTTGAATGAAGATGAACGAGAAGGACTCATTAACCGTATTAAAAGGCGTTTGACCCCACAAGCTACGGAGCAGATATTAAAGTGGCTTGTTATGGTAATGAGGGCATTGACGCTATAAAGACCCTGAGAGCAGGTTTGAGTTGGTCTGCGGAAACCATGCCCAGCAAGATAAGCTGGTAGCTCCTCCTCAGTGTGTGATGACTACCACAGCTCTGGGGAGAGCAGCAGGCCTTCCTGTCCTCCGTCAAGCTGTGGCTGTTATCAAAGAAAAGACTGAGGAAAAGAGGGGTGTGTTCAATGTTCAGATGGAGCCCGAAGTGGTCACAGATACAGGCGAGACTGAAACTGGCATTTTTTAACAACTGCATGTGCAAGGTGGCCAAGAAGATGACGGCAATGACTGCTATCACGTCCCCGTCACACTGAGACGCCGGCAGCTTTATCCGCTGCAGCTTGTGCGATGTCACTGCAAATATCGACATTTCTCTTAGTATCAAACTTATATTGTAAATTGTAGCATTTAAATGTATGTTTAAAAAGAGTTTTGACTCTGTGACCCCATCTACAGCAGCGCTTTCAGAACTGCACTCCCAGGTGACACCCGTGCCAGAGGTGACGCTTCCCTTTGCAGAGGTCAACATCCTGTCTAACCAAGGAAACACACCGACTGAGCCCATGTGCAGTCAACATGAACTCAGCGGACACCTAGACCTTGAGGTGAGGAAGACCCTAGGTTACCACCCTAAAAAGTCACAAAAGCAGGCAGCTGCGGAACTAGCAGATGACGAGACCCAGACACCTCACACCACACCCCCACCCACCCAGCATTTCGTTTTTGTCATGCCAAATATGCACTTGAGGGTGTGCTGGGCTCACCAGCCTGCACAGAGGAGCTAGGACGCCTCTCGCTGAATAGCCTTCCCGAGATCAGAACTAACTACTAATCATAAGAACAAAAAGCCATGATAAAGAAAAAAAGCAGATAAGACTTTCCAGAAGCACATGTCAGGTAGGGCAGTCACTCTCACCTGTACTTCAGAAGCAGTTTCAGTACCACTGAGCGGATGACAGGAGTCTTATCAACAACATCATTAAATGGAGAGAGAGATTTTGTGTGTTCACGTCCTTAAACCAGAAAGAGAAAGTGAGTTCACTGCATCTGACAGGTAAGGCTGAGAAGAATTCATCCTTAGGCTTACAGGAAAAAAGCAGCTTACTCTGAGGAGTATGTCTGAAGAGTTCCTTCTGCACAAAGAGTAGTGACAGCAGGCTATCGATCACTGGCTTCTCTGGCGGGGTGTTATCTTTGAAGCACATGGTGGAAACCAGGTCTACAAAGAAGCTGTTGCACATCCGCCGGAACTGGGCATGCTTCTCGATGGCCCTCCTAGAAACAGTTGAAGAACGCCGTCAGCAGACTGTAGGGTGTTCCCAGATCCCTCCACGCAGAACAGCTTGATTTGGACAGCACTTCATTCTTAGAGATTCAAGCCACCCTTTACATTGCTTAGAGCTGGTCTTCAAAACTGCAGTAAACAGTATTTAGACTTCTCTCTTTCTAGGGACACTTTCATCCTTTGGCCAGTTAGCAACACCCGCCCCCCCACCCCACCCCGGTGTCCCAAAGTATGTCAAAGAGCCCATCCACAGGCATGCCTGGGTCTCCACATTTACGAGGCTGTGGAAGAGAGGGAAGGGAAGGGAAACCAACCACCTCCAGAGCAGGGCTGAGCCTGCTGGGCCCAGGCGCGCCAGCCCCTTCTATCTTCCTCTGTAAGCTGAACAAGAGTTCAGTCCTCAGGTCAGTGGGCAGGAATGACACTGATCACTGAGAGGATACACCAGTCGCTTCTAAATTCCCTGGGCCTCTAGCAAAGGCTTTAATACTTTTGGTTTATTTCCTCTAAATTTGCTGTCGCTCAAATCTATACATGTAAATGTCTTGGAGAGAGACCGATTTTGAGACACCGGATGCTTGTGAAGGTGTATATGTGGTGGGCTCTCTTATATTAGTTTGCTGAAGTTTGGTTTTCTGCCAAATGAAAGTTAAATAGAGCTTATATTTTTGAATATTATATTTAAAAGGGGGAGGGGAAAACTTTCTGAGAGAAAGGGCGTTTTACCTGTGTTCTTGGGAAGCGGTCAGGGAGAATGTGTCTGGCAGGTCGGTTAGACAGTAGGGGCACATCATCTGCCCAGGGATCAGCCAGGCTTGGATGCAGGGCAGGCAGTACACGTGGTCACAGGGCAGGCAGACGGGGTCCTGCGCGTCTCCCAGGCAGATGGGACACGGCTGGATCCCAAACCTAGAGACCGAGTAGGAAGGTGGTTCTGAGGCTGGGAAGCTGGCCAGCAGAAGCCAGAAGCACCCAAGACTCAGAGTTCTCTCACTCATGGATCCCACACCAAAGGTCTTACCTAGCGAAGGTCTTGCTGGCTGTGTCCTTACATTCACAGAGAGTGTTCATCACAGCCACAAAAGGCCTGTGGGTCTTGATGTCAGAGTTCTCCTGAAGACACTGAAGGAGGGCAGTGATGATGAGAAGTCAGCAGTGGGGAGGGCGGGGGTCAGCGGGGTCAGGCAGGCTTCCCAAGGTGACAGAGGGGACAACACAGCACCCACTGGGCCAGCCGGCTGGGGTGCACGGCGAGGCCTGCTGGGTTCTGTCAGCAGTCCTCTCCAATCTGGACGGAACTGAATTCCCAACTTCTGATCTCCCCTCTTCTCCCTCCTGCTATCACAAGGTATTTAAAACTCTAATAATAATAATGTAATGACCCTCTGTGTGTTTCCCACCAAGGTTTAGAAAATCTCAGCATTTTGAAATATCTGATTTAGATCACTTTTTAAACAAACAGAACCTTACAGATACAGCTGCAGCTCGCATTCCCCCCCCCTCCCCAGAGCTGGCCACGTTCCTACACTCCGATCAGGGACGTCTGTCTGCAAGCACACTGTTACTGCTGCGAGGGTTTCAGAACCTCATATGGGCAACACACTGTACGTAGGCTTCTGGAGCTGGCTTTTTAAAAACATTTGAGATTGATACGAGGGTACAAATGATGAGGTTACAACGCTTGCATATGTTAGGTAAAGTCCCTGTTGTAGTTGTACCCCTCACCCAGGAATGCCATATGCCCTTACATTGCGGCCATTAGGTGGGAGCTCACCAATCCCCTCTCCCCTCCCTCCTCCCCCAACTTGAATTAGATTGAGGTTTTCCCTGATGTGGGCATGTATTAATCCATCTACTGTCTTCATATTAGTATTGAGGACACTGGATACTTCTCTTTCTATTCTTTTGATACTTTAGAATTCTCCAACTCTATCCAGGTTAATACAAAAGATGGAAGTCTCCACCTTTTCATGGCTGAATAGTATTCCATGGTATACACATACCACTGTTTATTTTTTTTTTTATTATTTTTTTGGCTGGGGCTGGATTTGAACCCACAACCTCTGGCATATGGGGCCGGCGCGCTACCCCTTTGAGCCACAGGCACCGCCCCCATGCCACTGTTTACTGATGCATTCATGGGTTGATGCTACATCTTGGTGATTATCCACCAGCAGATCGCATTCTTCATTAACTGACTTAGGTCCAGATCATTCTCGCTAGGCCCCGTATGGTGTCCATTGATAAGTATACTGGTTATTTTTTTTTCCCAGTTAATGGGCATTTAGATTTTTTGCAATTCCCAACGTTCTTGTACTCAATATTCTTGCATATGTGTGCTTGAGTACAAATGGGAAGTTTCTGTATCATAGTTAGAAATGGGGCTGGGTGCAGTGGCCCATGCCTCTGATCCCGCCACCCTGGGAGGGAGGCCAAGGCAAGGGTATTGCTGAGGTCAGGAGTTCAAGACCAGAGTGAGCAAGAGTAGGACCCTGTCTACACCAAAAATAGAAAAAATAAGCTGGGCGTAGTGGTAAGCACCTGTAGTCCCAGCTAGTCGGGAGGCTGAGGCAGGAAGATCACTTGAGCCTAGGAGTTTAAGGTTGCTGTGAGCGTGATGCGTGATGATGCCACTGCACTCTACCTGGATGGTTAGAATGGTAGATTTTATGCTTACTGTACCACAATAAAATATGACAGTGGCCTTGTGTTGGGCAAAAGATAGCAAGGCTGGGATATGATAGACTAGAAAGCTGATGGTGCCTTTATGATCTGCAGTAAGACTTCGGGATGACTGTCATCGGTGACACTTTGGGAGGCAGCTCATGTGCCGAGAGAACCTGTCTCTCTGCCTCCCTGTCACCTATCCGGCCCTGCTATAGAACTGACTGAGGAAACACCAACGTTCATCCACGTCTTGGCTACTTTTTGCAGTTTTTAGCAAAGCCCCTCAGGCTGAGTACAAGAAGCAGCACTGACAAGGCAGCTGAGCTCAGCGGAGAGTGGGGGAGTGAGGCCAGACTGAGGGCCTGCTCTCCCCCAGGCCTCTGATTTCTGATGGCCTCAGGGAGCTGCCCTCCACTGGGAGGGGACAGGCAGCACCGGAGGCTTTAAGCATGAAAACTGACACGGTGAGCTTTGGCTACTTGCACATGGATCTGACTTGGAAGAAATAAACCAGAAGCTCATTAAGTTTTTAAGGTCATTCCATGACCAAAAACATCTCCCAACACATGTAATCTCCAAAAACCTGTGAGGGTGCACACGCAGCAGGCAGGGCTGGATAATCATCTCTCAGCGTATGGCCACCTGGCCTTTGGAAGCACACTGGAGCTGGCTAAAAGCCTGTGCGTCCCCCAGGTGTCCAGGGATCCTGGACTGTGACAGGAGACATGGGGAGAGGCTGCCTGTGGCGCGGGTGTGGGGATAGGTGTTCACAGGTGTCTGGACAGCTGCTCAGGTGGCAGAACCCAGGTGTCTCCTCACATCCGTTCTCCACCTTTCCTTTATTGAAAGTGCTTCCGTGTTCTACCTGGGCACATGACCATTCCACAGAAGATTTTTTGCAACTAGATAAGGCCACATGACTAAGTTTAGGACAATGAGATGTGAGCTGGAACAAAGTGTGCATGTTCTGGGCTGGGCTGGCAGAGAGAATGGGTGTGCCCTCCGCCTCCCCTTCTTCCTGTCTGTTGTGACACCAAGAACAGCCTCCTGAGACCACCGGATTCATGTGAAGGACAACAATGGGATGAGACACGGAGTTGGGGCATTTACGGTGATGCTCACACCCATCCTGCTCCCTGGGAGAGGAATAAGCTGAAGCTGTGTCGTGGCGAGGTCCGAGGACTCAGCACCCTGCACCCATGCCGACTTCCCTTCAGTGCCCTTCCTCAGACACCCTGACAGCGACAGCTCTGGATGTGCCCAGACAGGAGAGTGAGGCCGAGGCTGTCACAGAGATGGTGGCTTTTTCTAAGAGGGCTCTGTCCTGTGCTATCACTAGCTTTCTAAAGGGTGCTGAGGGGCAGAGGCAAGTTAGCTTCCTGTTCTTTGGCCCCATAGACAACACTAGTTTTGAAGTCCCCAATCCCAATAGCTTCTCCTGCATCCTTGACACCCCAACTATGGTGATGGTAACAGCTCCTCCAGAGGGCCAGGTTGGTGATCTGCACAGTAGTCACCCAGGAGGCCAGGTCATTCCGCCCGTGGGTTTCACAGTATGTCCCTGCATCGATCCCTTTCTGAAACAATCCCTATAGCAGCTTCTCATCATGCAGCAGGACCCTAGATGATATGGACTGACTTAGGTATCAGGAGAGACTGGGCTACTAAGCAACTAAACCCTGAAAACTTAAGGGCCTGTTACGAAGTCACTTTCCTTTATGGTTCTAGATAAAGTCAGAGAACTGAAAGAGGAGATACCAGCATGCAGATCAATGCCAGGTCACCTTTCAGCTGGTCTTCATTTGTAAAGAGATACAGTCGTGCTTCTGCCAAAGTGAACCAATACTCACCTTGTCTAGTAAGAAGACATACTTGGTCACCAGGCTGCTTAACTCTGGAATCTGGCTCTCGGTCCCCAGGAGCACATGCTCCACAAAGAGTGCAAGAGACAAAATCCGGTTCCACTGGGTCCTGTCAAAAGAGGGGTGTCACTCAGCTCTTAACAAGAGAGTCTCGGACAAAAAGGGAGAGGGTGCTAAAACCATATGAGAAGGCAGAGGATAAGGAGAGAAGAGAGAGCCCAAGGCACAAGCCCTCTGTGACACGGTCCCTGACCTGTGCTCTGGCTCAGATGGGACTCTGTGACCTGCTCGCTGCACTTCTAAGTCCCACCTTGCCTTAGAGCCCAGCACAGGAAATGTCTCCCTGACCCTGATGGCTTGTCCTCTCTCTGCACACCTGCCAACCCTGGCTGTCCCTTCTAACAGTTCCTTTCTGCACAGCGCTGCCCACACGGCATCGTGACAGTTCCACACGCCCTGGATGCACAGGCTGCTTCATCCACTGAGATGTCTGGCACTCAACAAGGGTTCAACAGGTGTGAAGTGAAACCCAGAAAGAGCACTTCCCCTGGCAGCAGTATGTGTTAGTCTTTTCCCCAGACGTGCCCGGAACTTGGCAAGCTCCAGGGGAGACGTGGAAGTGCCGAGCTCCTGTGTCTCACCTGATGCCCACGATGGCGGCTCTGGCCCACCTCCCGCTGCCCTGCATGTGTGCGTCGGAACAGATGAGCTGCAGCGGCATAGAGAGGTTCTTCACCAGCTGCAGCCAGGCCTGGGGGCTGGGCTTCAGGGTGTCTCTTGTCAGCATTTCAACACAGGCCACTGCTGCAAATGCATCCAGGGTCTGGGGGCGGGGGGAACAGGGGTGTGACTGTGCTGCGGCCCTCCCTCCTCACCTTTTCCTTTTGAGGGGTTGCTCTAAGTTTATAGCCAGAGGCCCTGGTTGTTGACCCGGTATGCTCTTGTATGACAGGCTTGTAACCTAATCTGTCGTCATCTTGAGAGAATTCGGTAGCCATGTTATTGACTTCTCTGATTTAGCCCAATGTTATGGCCCATGAAGGGGTCTCCCACATGGAACATAGCCCCGCTAGCTTTCCGCTCCCAGGTGGGGGTGGAAGCACCCCGACCCTCACTCCAGGTTTTGGGGGGGGGGACATACCATCTCACAGCCAGCCAGCTCATGGCTCTGTGTGGCTTCTGCCAGGCTCTGCAGAATGTGGGGATGGATAGCCAGGATTCTGGAGAAGTTCTGCAGCCGGCTCTTGAAGTGCTGATAAGCAAGGTGCACCCATGGCAAGGAGGTCCCTTCCTCTGACCGTCCTGATGCTGCCTTTAGTTCACCGATGCAGGACCATAGAGCCATCTGCAGAAACTGGGGTTTAAAAAGGTTTTAGTACATATTTTCAAATTATAAAAATGGTACATTTTTCCCCGTGGAAATGAGAGCTATCCAAACATGACAGGAGAATGCTGGAGGTCGTGTTTGCTGTCCCCGTCCCTAGGTTGCCGTCTGGGGTGGCTCCCTCTGCTGACCTTGTAGCTGCCTCTGCTCCCGCTGCCCCTAACTCGGGGTCGGGGTGTCTTCCTGATGTTATTCCCACTTCCCCCTGGCATTATGAACACTGCTCCATTTTCCTGATTACTCTGCTCTCTGTTAACACGTATACTTCAAAAACACTGTCATGGACGCTTAATCACCCACTGAATGGCTGTACTTTAATCTGCCCATCCCTTACTTTTGAACAACTATTTCTAATTTTTCACTTTTAGAAATAAAGTTCAGGCTTGGCACCTCCAGCAGTGGTTATGGTGCCAGCCATATACACCAAGGGTGGCGGGTTTGAACCCGGCCCGGGGCCAGCTAAACAATAATGACAACTGCAATAAAAATTAGCCGGTTGTGGTGGTGGGCGCCTGTAGTCCCAGCTACTTGGGAGGCTGAGGCAAGAGAATCACTTAAGCCCAAGCACTGGAGGTTGCTGTGAGCTGTGATGCCACGGCACTCTACCAAGGGTGACATAGTGAGACTCTGTCTCAAAAAAAAAGAAAAGAAATAAAGTTGAAAAGAACATTCCCATAAATGCAAGATTTCTGCACATCTCAAGTAATTTTCTTAGGACAGAATCCAAAGTTCAGACTGAGTGAGGTTCCCAATACGTCCTGCCAGGCAGCTTTCCACACACCCGCTGTCCACACCCCTGCTGTCCACACCCCCGCTGTCCACATGCCCACTGTCCACACCCCCGCTGTCCACACCCGTTGTCCATACCCGCTGTCCACCCCCGCTGTCCACACCCCCGCTGTCCACACCCCTGCTGTCCACACTGCTGTCCCTTTTCTGCAGCACTGGCTGCTCTCCTTTTAAAAAATAATCAAGGCTGGGAAATTTCAAGTGTTTTCTGGATATTGATATGATTGTTCTGTTAATAGTTGTTTTATACCTTTTATTATTTTTCAAAATTAGGGTATTTTCTTATTGATCCCTAAGGAATACCACGACCTTCAGTCTGACTGCTTGCAAGGATGTGCTCCTCAAATCCATAACCTTCCTTTTCTGTGTAGTGAAGTTTATAATTTTTAGGTAGTCAGAAGTATTATTCGTTCCGTTGAATTTCATCTATTATTCTTATCCCGTAGGGTTAAGTATTTACCTAATTTTCTTCCAGAGAAACTCATTTGAGGGAAACTGGAGGTCTTTTCATATTGACAGAAAGTTCCATGTGTTAAGCGGCCCAGGCAGTGAGAAGGTCCACACTGAGCCCACCCCGACCTGTGGTGCCCCACAGGCCACCTGCTGTTCCCAAACAATAGCAGCTGAGGACTCGTGCCTGTGCCCATGTCCAGTCCATATCACACAAGCTTTGCCCTCAACCCTTTGTCAGTACCTACCTTTAATTCCTCCCCGGTGGACACACTCATGGTCAAGAGGAGAAAGTCCTGGGAGTAGCCCTGCAGAAGGTCCTGCTGCTGCTCCTCACGGAGCTGGGCGAGAAAGCTGCCCAGTGGAGTCCGCTGGAAGATGTCCAGTAACTTTCCTGACAGCCCTGTGGGAGGAAAGCAAAGAGTGGTTCCACGTGAGACTCTGACCCCCCCTTGTGTCCAGAAGAACGCGGCCTCCCTGCGAAGGGCAGTAACATGGAGAACGGTAACTGGGCAAGGCTGTGCTGACTAGGAGCTCCCACAGGGCACCAGCTGCCTGATGTCCTGGGGGATAAAAGGAACAGTCACTGTCTGGACACGTAGGGTATTTTTCCAGTGGAATAAAAGATCACAGGCAGGGCAGGTTAGTGGCTCAGCGGGTAGGGCGCCAGCCCCATATACCGAGGTGGCTGGTTCAAACCCAGGTCCAGCCAAACTGCAACAAAAAAATAGCTGGGCATTTTTTAGTGGGCACCTGTAGTTCCAGCTACTCGGGAGGCTGAGGCAAGAGAATTCCCTAAGTTCAGGAGTTGGAGGTTGCTGTGAGCTGTGATGCCACAGCACTCTACTGAGGGCAATAAAGTGAGACTGTCTCTACAAAAAAAAGATGAGAGGCAGAATCAATGGTAAATTTTGTTCACAAACAGCCAAGCTAGCCTCAAAGGGTAAAAAACCATCTGGTATCAGAGAGCAGAGTCTTATGTTCCATGTCTAAACGTCCTAACAGGCGCAGAAGCCCCAGGGCTGAGTAACTCAGGAGTGAGTGGGGCTGAGGACAAAGACCACTCAAACCAGGAAGACCTGGCTTCTCTGGTGGGGTGCTGGCCCCCAAGTTGAATGTTATTATAGAAAAGCAGAGTCAGAGCATCTCCATGGACAAAGGAAATACTCTCATTAGGAGAGAGACCGCTTCAAGTTTGTCCAGAAAACACGGACATCGGAGTGTTCTGACCAGTACTGTAAGGAAATGTTGAAAAGATCAATTCATGTTCGAAAGAAGACTTTTCCAAAAATGGCTGTGCTCTCCTTAGTGTTACTAAAGACTGCAGAAGGACTCTTAACAGGCAGCCGTCTGTCCACCTGCTCATCCACCACCAGACAGGCTCCTGTGAGGAGCAGGTGACTGGTCCGAGCGGCACCTGCCCCATGCGGCAGCCTCACCCTCAGGACAGGTGATGTACTGAGCCTGTGCCCAGAGCTCCTCCAGATAGTCCTTGATCCTCCAGCTGAACGGGACGATGTTAGACGCGTTCTCCGAAAGGTTCATGTAGTTCTGCACCAGAATGGAGGACATCTCACTCTGGGGTCTGCAAGGTGAGTGAGGACAAGAACACGGTGTGTGAGACATGAGGAGAACACAGGCCAGGACCCAGCACGGACACCAGCGCCCACAGCCTCACACGGGTGCTGCCGGCTGCACAGACCAGCCAGCCTGCCCGCAGCTCAGGGTTTCTGTGTGGAGCCACCTCATGGCATCCTGTGCTTTACAGACAAAACAAAACCCAGGCTGGCAGGGGGCGAGTTAGCTGCCCCAAATCTCTGGCAGAACCGAGTCTTCTGGTGCCCGAGCCTGTTCTGATGCCGAGAGCAGAGCAGTTCTCTCCATAAGGAGCGTCAGCAGCACCTCACCCTCTAGAGCCCCCACTGGCAGTTCAGAATGCCAAGTACATACATATTCCTTATTACACACACCCCTGAACTCCAAAGAGGAAGCTTTTGGGAGGCAGCTGAGCTCAAGGTCCCTAGAGTCAGGCCTAGGGACAGGCTATGCAGGTCCTTGTAGAACGAGGGACAGGATGGGGGGGGCACAGATCACAGGGCTCCCCCACACACAGCTTCTCCGTCACACACAAGGTCGTGACTGGCGCCTTCACCTGCACAGGGTGCTCTGAAAGCAGGGCAGTGAGGACAACACTGACAAAACAGGGACTGCTCAGCACGTCAGTAAACTTCCTTTCGTAACGCCACCATTCTCTAGGCTGCAGAAAGCGCCAGCATAGCTGCTGCTGTGGAAAACGCTGGGGCAGCTTCTCAAAAAGGTGGACATTCAGTAACTATGTAACCTAATAATTCTGCTTTCACTTATACACGAATATCAAAGGGAACTGAAAGCAGGAACTTAGATACTCATACACCAATGTTTACAGAAGCATTGTTCTTAAAGGCCAAAAGGTAGAAATAACTCAGATGTCCATAAATAAATGAATAGGTAAATAAAAAAGAAAAAGAGCCAATGTGAATGTTATTCTAAAGGCAATAGCAGTGTTTCACCTAATACTTGGAAGAGGGTATTAACTGCTGCTGCAGTACGGCTTTCCCCCTTTCCCATAAAAAGAAAGTCTTCTAATCACCTTGCATTATTCATCACAAGAGGAATGTTCAGAAGCTTAATGTCCCTGAAAATAAACATCCAAAGATCTCTTGTCCAGGACGGAGAATCCGGCCTGGCCAGTAGTTCGAGGTTTCCATCTCTGTCGATGAAGGATATCATACTCGCCAGCAGAGGGGTGACGGCACCTTGCACTCGCTTCCAAAGGGTTTGCCTGCAGCACAGGAGAGAGGGGACCCCATCCTGGTATAGATGAAGAAAATAATGACTAACTCATTTAGAAAAAGTTTGTCCCAGATCAAGTTAAACAAGAAAGCAAGTTTATCTAGAATTTATTTTTTGTTGCATACTAGATCTGGGTATTTTATATAGACAGATAATTAGTTGCATTAAATACATTATATATTTTTGTTATATGTTTACATATTCTAGACTGGGTGCAGTGGCTCACACTTGTAATCCCAACACTCTGGGAGGCTGACGTGGGTGGATTACTCGATCTCAGGAGTTTGAGACCAGCCTGAGCAAGAGCGAGACATTGTCTCTCCTAAAAATAGAAAAACTAGCCAGGTGTGGTGGTGGGCACCTGTAGTCCCAGCTACTTGGGAGGCTGCGGCAAGAGGATCCCTTGAGCCCAGGAGTTTGAGGTTGCTGTGAGCTATGATGCCACAGCACTTTACCCAGGGCACAGTGAGACTGTCTCAAAGAAAAAAATAAAACTCTATACTTCATTTCAAAATTCTTGTGGCAAAGGATAAGAATTACTAGGTAATTATATGTTGGGGAAAAAAATGAAGGCTCTATTTTGAAAAGAATAAAAAGAACCTGGAAAGAATTTTTAAATGTCTACTGAGAAAACTAAGCATACCAGTGATCAAGGAGCCCCCTTAGTAAAGACATTGCTGTGTTCAGATGTTTGCTAAGCACGGAGACTGCAGAGGCGAAAGGTGAAAGGCCACCGTGGGGGCTGCCAAACCTCACTCGGCTGTGCGGGAGGGTTTGGGACTGGGGGCCAGAGAAAAGGGGCTGAGGATTTGGACTGCTTAATCCCAAGGGGGCAAATGACGAAAGTCCAGAGAACACGGCAATGAGTCAGCTGGTCCCCACCAGCAGCTCTGGGCATCACCCGGCTCTGAAACGGGATATGAATGAGCGGGTGCAGTTCCAACCCTGTGGAAGGAACAGAGCCTGTCCTCAGTGCTGTGGTCACCAGCACAGCAGGGAGCAGCAGCCTGGCATCGCTGCACACTGGCACACTGAGGTGGCTCGACCACGCAGGTGGCCCACAGGGAGCCCAGACGTGTGGATCTTGGGAAGCAGGAACGGAACCCACAAGGAGTGGCCAAGGGAAGGGAGGAAAGGAAGGGTAACTGGAGAGAGACAGGAGCCCCTGCGGCCGTGCATAGAAAGGACACCCTGTGCTGGTAACTCGGCTCCTTCCCACTCTTCCCTCCACCAGGCCTGTGGCAGCACAAACTATAGGTGCGGAAGACAGAAGGGACAGGGATGAATTCAAGTTCTTTTAGAGATGGGGAAACAAGAACTAGATGAAGTCACCAGTCTATGACACTCCCAGGCTCCTCAGGGTCCCTCCCTCTGGGGTCCTCCCTGGACGACACTGGCCTCAGAGGTCATCGAGGGTTAGTCCTGGGCAAAGGGTCAAGGACCATAGGCAGTAATGATACTCTTGGGTCCTACTTTTGTAATTATCATCACTTGGAGCAGTGGTACTTAGAAAACCATTTCTGTTCTGCCCTGCATTTCACATTTTAAATATAGTAACCTAAACAGCA